TTGACAGTATGGAACAACATCACAAGAACTGAGGCTTTATCATCAGTCGAGTGAAGGAAAAAGTGGTTTGGTGTTGGAAGTATGCATCACTCCAATAAAAGTATATAATTGCTCTCTCACAGTAAAAAGATTAGTCCTCAACGGATTCTCAGGGATAAAAAAAATCCTATTATTTCCTCTCCACTAAGGAGTAACATCTTCTCGTAATTACAGGAAAGCTATGCATTAAGTTGCCCGCTCAGGAAGTGCTATTTCCTCATAAGATGCAAAACCCAATCCACTTTCCCCGAGTCAGAAATAAACCTACAATCTCACCTCCCACTGTCCACTTTCATCAGGCGTCCTGTCGATTGTAACTCCTTCAGTTAGAGGCCTAGACAACAATCCATTAATTTTTCAATTCTCCTCCAAGTCCCTCCCAGCTAAGACATTGAGATTCCATGACTTTATCTGATAAACCCAGTGGCAGACGAAAAAGGCAGTGTGACGTGTACAGCTACATTCACAGGAACTCAAGTTCAAAATTTTTGCAATCTACTGTGTCCATTAAACACTAGTGTGTCACCTTGGTCTCAGGTGGCACATGACTAATCAAGTCTCCCTCTCACGTGGAATGCCTCTTATTCCTCTCAAATGTCTTCCCAGAGTCTCTCTAAACTCCAAAACAAAATGACCTTCAGGCCTATGAGGGTCTTCTTTTACAAGCCCCACCAACATTAACTATGATTTATAAATGTAAAGCCTAGGGCATAGGCTGGTTTTTCAAAATGGCTCACCTAGCACACTACCTTTGACTTTCACTACCTGGCTTGGTGGGAACATGTGAACAGGGTATGTGGATATGAATGAGGGAATGGTCAGTCTTGCCATCTGGTAGTTTTTGTTGAGCAGGTTCTATAGCAGGAAATAAGAATCTCATAGCCAACAAAAGAGAAGAACCAAAAAGCTGAGTGTGTCCACCTGGACCCTGCACTGGAACCTGGACCAGAGCAATGAAGCAGAGAACTAGAGGCCAGCAAGAAACCAAAGTCTGGTGCCCCAGGCAACCAATGCAAGGAGTCGCTGACCAAACTTAATAGAGATGAGAGGTAGGGGAGGGCAGCAGAGGGAATTGTCACAACTGGCAGGACTAAGACTTCTGTAACACTGACCTGAAGCCTCAAGGCTGAAAATCAAAGGGCCTTCAAGCATGACCGACAAGATGCCTTCACTGAAGAAGTGGATAATATTTCTAACATGAACTATAACATTTCAACTTCCCTAATAAGCCCCACAGTCATTAATATGGTTCTGTGAGTTCTAAGTGGCCTCTGGAAATGACTGGCAGGACAAAAAGCAGAGCCGAAAGAGCCCTGGGAGAGACGGCTAGTGTTAGAATTTGTACAAGCAAATGCAGGGCATGTGGACACATGCGTGTCTTTGGAGGTGCTATGGATACTTTTGATGGGGACTGTTTCCCCTGGGGACTAAGTGTAATTTGGACTTTGCCACCCTCATGCCAGCTTCACACTCTTAACATATAAAATCCTCCTCCTCCATAAATGCTATACATATAGACAGCAAGCAAACTAGAGCTCTGACAGAGAAGCCAATGGACCAAGTTCAAACTCCTGATTTTACAGACAGGCACCACCACATAGTGACTCGTTTAGAATGTGAGAGTAGCTCATGAGAGTCAAGAAATGCAGACAGTGCACAATTACCAAGGCACAACTTCAGGACAAGTCCTACCTGCCCTTAATGGTTCTGTAAATTTACTGTCGCTTTAAATGACTCAAGTAGTCCAAGCTTAGAACAAATCCCTCATAACAATCATCTTCACTTACTGCAGTTGGAGCTTTTAAATTAAAAGGTAAAATAAGAGCCATATGCACCTATTCTAACTGACCTATAAATTCCATTTAGAAGTACAAAAAGAATCTCACTTATAACCAGGGCCTAGCCGTTGGGGGGGGGGGAGAATTCCCATCCTACTAGAAGTCAATGTTAACATTTGATTTGGATAGTATATGGTGGTATTAATATGGGTGGTAAGGAAGCACTATCTGTTGTTAGGCTCACAGAGGTTAAAGATATGAGGCATCTTTCTTCCCATGCCTCATAAAGAGAGTGTCAAAAAATACAATGTATTCAAATTTTGTAAATAAACTAGTATTAAAAAAAAGTAAAAGTGTTCCTTTATAAAACCTCCCCCCCCAAAAAAAAACCCCTAGCTTTTCAAGTACTTTTCCTATTACAAGTAATACTTTTATTTCAAACAACATTAGTACCAAAAGGTTGACAATTAGGACCAAAAAGTTGTTTAAAAGAGAGCCACGCAAGAACTATACTTCATTCCTGATCATAAAATATTTCACCTGAGGACCATGAAACCCTTGGCACTTCACAGGAGACACAGAAGGGTGTTGAAGGCAGAAACAGAAAACATCAGGTCAGGTCTAGAAATACAAGGGGGATTCACAGCTTAGTGCTGGCTCATAATTAAATCCAGCTTCCTGCCCAAAGGGATAAGAAACCTTCTTCTCACCATAGTGAAAAAGAGAACCTGGGGAAGAGATCCTCTGGGAGTAATTACTGTCCTCACACGCCTCACAGAGGGGCAAGAGTTCCTCCCAGTAAGGACCCCATTCCCTTTTGTAGAACCAAGTCCTTTCTCCCTCCCATTCTCCCCTAAGAAAGCCTTCAGTCAGATGTGGCTACTTCCCACACTATTCTTTGTTCTAAGAGCCCTGGTTGAACAGTGAATTAAGTATTGGGCTGTTAAATGAAGAGCTGTAATTCCAATTCCACCAGTGATTCCAGGGACAACAATAAGGCGGTCTCTATTTCTGTCAAGATTAACAGCCTTGAACTCCCAAGGGGCAGTTCTATTCTATCCTACATGGTCACTGTGAAGCGGACTCAAGTCCAGGCAATAGTCTGGGTTTTAAGGTTCTTTCTCCTATGACTCAGCAATGTATCCTGTTTCTTCTTGTGTATTCACAGGCCATCCCTATGACCCAAATCCTTTCCTCTGCCCAAAGCACTCATGACATTTCTATAAATACTTGCGCACTCTCAGAACTGGAATTCTCTTTTCTTCACTCACAACCCTTAACTCCAACAAACCAAAAGCCCTAACAATCCAATGCTGCTGAATCTAATCCCTCTCATGGCAGACTTACATCAGGCCGCTGAGCTGTAAAGCTTAACGGGATCACACTGTCTCATCTTCTCCAGCAGAGACACTGATAGACCTGAACTGTCAGCCTTCCGGAGAGCACTCCAGTATGTAACCTACTACACCACTCCTCTGACTCAAGCAGGAGAGAAGGGGGGGGAAATCAGGAAACTAGAGCAACACTAGGGCGTGAGAGATCCAACTCTGCTGTCCTCTCCTGCTAAGAAGCCCAGGCAAAAGTGACCTTAGTGTTTCCAATTAGCAAGTGTTGTGTTAAGGATTACAAGTTACAAAGTCTCTCTACCAAGCACGAGAACATGTTCTGTATTACCCACTGCCATCCAATTAACTCCAACTCACAGTGACCCCCCCCCCCAGGACCAAGGTCAATTGCCAAGGCTGTAAATCTGTACATAAGCAGACTGCCTCATTCTTCTCTAGTTTTCTGGGGGTCTGGAGCACGACCTCCAGCTGAGCAGTTTAACCGCTGCACTCCAGAGCTCTTTAAGAAGTGCATCACCGCATGGTAATAATTATTATTAAAACCCCAATCATAGGTTTCAAGATACATGTGTACCTTTGAAAACAATGTCCAGTTTGTCACATTTAAGGAACCGGCAGTGGGGTCCTTCCAAATCCATGTTGAAATCCATCACTGCTAGTGTTTCCTCAGAGATGTACTTTCTTACCTCTCAGCTTTAGCTACTTGCTAAACCTCTCAATAGATTTCACTGGCCCTTCCATCTATTTACCCGAAAACTATCACTGAAAAAAGACATCCTGAATGCGTTAAATGAGTGGTTCTCATAACAGGCAGACTATTATCAAATAGGACTCTTTATACAACTACAAATTTTGAAGTGTGACCTCTTAACAGTTGTAATTCACTAGAGTCCTATGCAGGAGCAGGAGCTTTTAATAATAAGGAACAAAATATGATTCTAATGATCTGTGAACATTTGGAGCCTTGGTTTTGTATGAGCCCAGCTCATTTCCCACCTCAGAGAAACATCTGCAAAACAGAAATTACCTGTTCAGCTTCTAATTAGCAGCACCTGCTCTGTGAACCCACGTCCTTCCTCTGCTTCCTTTCAGTGTCAGTCAATCTCACCCAGTGGTCTCTCTCCCAAAACCAGACATCCCCAGAACATGGGTAATGCTGGAGCACTAAAACCCCTGGCTTTGTGTGGAAGAACTGCTATAAACAGCTTCCCTTCTCATTATTCATCTATTGCATGTGGGGAATTCCCAGGCAGAAAGAAAGGCTCCCCAAATGCTAAGTGCTGTATTTCCTTGTGCATCACTGACATCCGATTATTAACAGGAGGTCGGTCCTGACCAGACTTGCATACAAGCAGAACACAGGATAAGTCCATTCCTCTGTCACTGCTCACCTGCACGTCACAACTGCAGGGTCCCCTGGAAAATCTAAATCTTAGGCCAGGTTCTGTCTGCCCACAATCAACCATTTCCAGCACCTCAGAACTGTGAGATGTACAGTTCATGTGCTCCCATCTGCCTGTTCTTTTGGTCCTACAAGCCAGTCTGCCTGGACAAGCATAAAGCTTCATTATGGCTGTGTACCCAAAATCAGCAATCACTATGTTCTTCAAAGCCTGGCACACTGCAAGTCTTCCACCTGGAAGTTTCAAACCATTACAAACACAAGCACTGTGACTTGGCTGTGTGTCTTTCAGGCGAGTGCATTCAGAGAGTTTCAGCAAGCCCAAGGCTCTCTGGGAAGGAGATGCAGCACCCTACCCAGGATGTCTTCTCGACCTGCCGGGAAGAACCGCTGAGAAGCAAGGCCCTGAGGAAAGAACACGCGGCGCGGCCTCACCTGTCGGAGTCCCTTGGGCATCTTCTTCCTTTTCCCGAGGTGCTGGCAGAGGTTACGGTCATTCTCTCGGTCGGAGCTGTAGTGGTGCGGGTGGCTGAGTCTGCTCTTCTTGGAGTGAAAGGACAAGCCATTGGTAAGTGCTTCTCGTTTATTCTTGGTCAGAGGAGTCTGGCGCTTCTCCACACGTTCCTGAGGCTTAAGGGCTACATCTTTCTGTGAAATCCAAAAAAGGGAAAATGGTGGTTACCTAGACATCAAGGATTAGAACCCAAACCCAAGCTAAATGAGGTCTGTCATACACACACTCATTCACTCACTAACCTCGAGTCAGAACTGACTTATGGCTGACTTTCGACTGGGTTTCCAAGCCTGTAAACCACGACGGGAGGAGACTGCCAACCTATCTCCCAAGAAAGGGCTGGTGGATTTGAATAGCCAGACAATATCAACCTTTTGTGTTACTAGCACTACACGCCACATACTATGCCACCGAAGTTCCCTAAATGACACTACAAAAAGGGAGGAGGAATAAAAGGCTTAGAGGTCAAGTTGTAGGAGTAACTGGAATGGAAAAACACAGCTTTCAATTTTTCTGAATCAAGTGCATCACCACAAATGTACACATCCCCTTCTTACTGGCTAGAAAACAAAAACCCCACCCCAAAGCACTAAGTGTCTGTCCATTAGAAGTGTGGCCTGGGATAGCAGCTTTCCGTTTCATTCTGTGCTGGGTCCAGCCCACAATGACATTCCCCAAGGAGGCTCAATACATCCACTTCCCACACTGGGCCATCAATTATGTCTCAGAAAAGGAGAACTAAGTGCATGCTGGATTCTAAAGAAATAACCCCAGGCAGACATCTCTGGGCCAAGTGGATGAGAGCCAGCAAGAAAGAAACTGTCAATTCAGACGATTAAAATGTTTCCTTAATGCATTAAATTTTTACCACATTTCCTCTGAGTATCCTTAATTCCTCTCTTCTTTACATCATGTAACAACAATATTATCACTCCGATCAACAGTAGGCTTTCATTATTTCTGTGTGTGGCTGGGGGAAGAGGATGGAGAGAAGACAAGCAATACATATCCTGGAATGAACAGGGCACAGCAGCTGCAGAAACCATAGGTAACCATCCTGCAGCCAGGTGGAATTCCAAGCCACCACAAGAGCCAAGTTCAAGCCCTGGTATTGCCATTCCTCACTGAAGAGACTTAGAATAAGCCACTCAACTCTGAGCTCTTCTGAGAGAGGACAGGTGAGCCTTTGAGAACATCAAACAACCTGAGGCAGGTGTGTGCCTTCTGAAACCCTAGAAATACTTCACAAATGTGGGCTTGAATAAAAAGGAAAAGAAGTTGGTATTTTGTCATCTCTCTGTACATGAGTATGTATGATTCTCTTCACACTGAAAATGTGCCTTCCTGGAGTTTTGCCCCAGCATGGAGTGAATGCTCAGTTTTGTGGTCCTACAGAATCAATTAGAGTCACAAGTTGCCCTTTACCCACGTCTCCTCCTCAAAGTATCATTCTTCCATCCCATAACTTGCCTTATAAGGTGATATTCAACATCCTTTCCCAAATCAGTCTGTTCAGGCCATAGCCCTTATCTTCCTTCTTTGCCTTGGCCTAAAACTCCCTCCCCACCACATCCTCTTAAACTTCAGGGACTCGTCTCCTGGTCCTTTCTCTAGTACTGCCCACTCAGGAAGACTTTTCCTATGTGGCAGTGGACTCAGTACAAGCGTTCACCCCTTCAACAAACATTTGCTGTCTACCTAGGATATAGCCACTTTAGCTGGCGACAGAATGATGTGAGGAAACTCCTCACCCTTACCAAACTTAGAAATTAAGGGACAGACAACTACTAATCAAACCACACAAATATAAAATTGCAAACTGAATAAAGGGAGGGTGAGTTGGTGGAGAGAGAGTGCCGGGGCTGAGGAAATGACAGTCACTAGGCTGAGATCAGAACATCTGAAGCGAATGGACAGCGGATTAAGATCTTGAAGAACTGGAAGGAGGGTGTGGATGAATACCACTCATCTCTGCAAACCTAGAATTACTCTCACACACCGAACCAGGTAATTATAGTGGTCAGCACATATATATTAAAGAAATGCTGGAAATACATGTTTTCCAAATACCAACATCCACAAAAGCAGGAGTCAAGAAATAAAACAACATATTGCACTGGGCAAATCTGCTGCCAAGAATCTTTTTTAAAGTGTTAAAGAATAAAGATGTTTGTTTAAATACAGAGGTAAGCCTGACCCAAACCAAGGTATCATGAATCAACTCATATGCATGTGAAAGGTGGACAGTGAACAAAGAAGACCTATAAAGGACTTTAGTCATTGGCAAAAAATTTTAATATAACCCATCAACTAGAAAAAGAGCAAATCTGTCTTAGAAGAAATTCAGCCAGAAGGCTTAGAAATAAAGATGGTGAGACACTGCCTTACATACTTTGGGTGTGTTGTCAGAAGAGGTCAGTCTCTGGAGAAAGACACCATGCTTGGTAAAGTTTGTAAAGCAGATGATTATTAGCAAGGAGGAAGAAGACCCTGAACAAAAATAACAGTGTAACTTAGCTGGGGAAAGATGCTGAGTTCCACTGAGCATGGCAAGTGGTACTACCTGGGATATTAGGAAATTTCAAGAAGATTGGCTATAGTGGAAAAGAAGAGAGTGGTATTTTGAGGCTGTAACAATGGGTCCAAGCATAGCGGCCATCCTAAGAATGGTTGCTCTGGTGTACACAGAAATAGAGCAGGTATAATCTGGAGCCAAATCAGTAACACCTAACAAAATAACTATAAATAAAAAAAGTTAACTGGCGGGGGGGGGAGGGGCGAGGGGTTTGTGCGGGGAGAAGGGTGCAACAATGAATGAATGGAATCCCAAAATCTCTGTAGATGTTCATTGAAATGAAAAATAGACAACCTAAATTAAAAAAAAAAAGTTAACTGGCTAAAGAGCTTAAAGCCAACATAAAAAAATAGTTTACCATTGCTGATTCTGATTCATAACAACCTTACCATTAAGAGAGTACAGAATTGTTTCATAAGATTTCCAAGGCTGTAAATACTTATAGAAAAAATACAAAGTTGCTGGTGGGTTTGAACTACTGACTTTTCTGTTAACAGCCCAACCTTAATCCACTATGCTACAGGACAGCTGCTGCTGAATACACAGTGAAACAATCAGAAAAGCTGACAGAAGCATGAAACAACCAACCCAGGGGATGTGGCCGGCACCATGAAGCATCACAGCAAGCAGCAGGAAGGGCAGAAAACTGGGCAAAGACTTTATCCTAAAGCAAGAAGATATCCAAGATACCAATCTTATCAGGCAAGCGAGTGGCTTCTGGTCTAACCTCTTGATGTTCTTACTGCAGTTTCCTCTCTGCCACTGGAGAAGCAGCTCCCCAGAGGAGAGGAGGATGGGGAGAGGCGCATTAGGGGGTATGATGCTCAGATTAAAGCAAGTGCACATCCAGCTGACCCTTGACTCCAAGGTCTCAAATCTCCACACATGCTATCATGTGGTTGTTGTTCTAGAAACATCTTCAGGACGGAGTATCTTCATCCAGTGGTCCCCCAAATCAGCTGTGTTAGACATCATCTCAGCCCAAAACAGTCTGTTTATAGCCAAATCCAAATTGATGTCAGCTGTCATAAAAAAACACCCTCAAGAAGAGTGCTCCGGCCGAAGCAGCCTGGGGAGTTACACCGTGGGCTGCCTCCACATAATAGGAGTAAGCTGCACCCCTCTGAGAAAAGCCATAGGTGGGATACTGGTAAAAAGCTGTGTTACAATCTCAAGAGCACGCAGTTCAAATTCACCAGCTGCTCAGCAGAAGGACAGGCATGCTGATGGAGGGTTCTAATGACAATAAGGGCAACATACAAATTCCCTACAGCGTAGAAAAAAAATCCTTCCCTCTGTCACACAAACCACATTCTGCCTTACGTTATATGCATTTAGAGTATGAGATTAATAAACAAATGATATTTAATAATGTATCAGCTACGGTTTTTCAAAAAATTACACCATTCTCTTTGGAGACTATCTCCTTTCATTCTGAAGGTGCCTCCAAAGTATACTGAAAATTATGTGCAATTCCATACAAATGTGAATTAATATTTATGAGAGTATGGTATGATTTTTTATAAATCCATTTTATTTTCATGTAGCATATTAATCAAGGCATTTTCACTGCACTGTAGAAGAGCTACACAGAGCAAATGGACCCCATGCGGTGACATTAGCTTGCAAGAGACCTGCTGAAGTCTTAGCAGCAGTACAATCATGGTAGCTCCAATTAATACTGAGATTTTCAATTCTGGAGGGTGTAGAGAGGGAAGAAAAGAGGGGGAACTGAAGAGCATGTCAGGGGTACTGAGGGTGGCTTAGGAAAAACAGAAGAAATGAGTCTTTACAAAATTTTCAAAGGTTAAGAGGTTTATATTTTAAAATACTGGAGACTATCTTTTAGTTTCAAAGTTGCAGCTTTATTTTTCAATGACTAAATAAACCCTTCAGTATAGCTCTTCAACAACCAGGCCCTGGATTGTATACATTTGTTTTCTGACTGCTTAACAATTTCTACAGTAATATCATCATTTATTTAGTATTTCACTGGATATCTTGACAGTAGAATGTAAAAAAATTGTCTACTACCATTAGTGAGACTCAAACATAAATAGATTGATTACAAATGGCTCATTTCATCAGCATTCAGGCCAGCTGTGTGCATGATTACGTGTGTGTGTGTGTGTGTGTGTGTGTGTGTGTGTGTGTGTGAGAGAGAGAAAGAGAGAGAGAGAGACAGACAGAGAGAGAGAGAGGTTCCCAAGGTGATGCACAGGGTTTAATGTGCTTGGCTGTTCAATGAAAGGCTTCACTATCAACCACCCACTGGTAACTTTAATAATAATCTTAACCCTTTCATGACCCATGGGACATATAGTGCCCACCAACTTTCCAAGGTTTCTTGGGAGGCTGTTAGCCCACATTCGGCATATACTGCCATCTAGTGGGTCTCTATATAAAAACCAACTGAATTCCACCAATCTCAAAATGAAAACCCCCTCAGGACCTATATATCCCACTAATTTTATAAAAATCTATGTCACCTTGAAAAACAAAATACATGGGCTTTTCTACTATTTCGTTCAAAATTACTTCCACTGTTCCAACAGAAAC